ACATTATGAATCACCTAGTTTTGATACTTTCTGGGAGTATCAAAACTATGACCCAAAGTATCGATAATCTTATCCAGAAACTCATGAGTTTGCCTGAGAAGAAGAACAAGTTTTGATACTATTCCTCTTGTATCGAAACTCAACCTGAATAGAGTATAAAATATGTGCAAAAACTCTATTCTACTATCCTAAAGACCTTGGTGAGGTCCCCAAACATTATTAATGTTTTATGAAGATACAAAGGAGCATAAATAGGGATTTAAACATCTTTATAACTCTAAAACATGAAATCTACCATGGGAATGCTTCAAGCTTATGTAACCTACTACATTTCATCTAATTGACTTACATATGGTATAGTTGAGTCAAAAGTGAGTTACCTTTGATGCTATACTGATGGAAACATCAAAGGCTCAACCCAAAGTAAGTTTTTCCTTCCCCTTAGCTTTGGAGCATTCTTCAATCCCTTGCACTAAACAAAACCAAATGCAAGGGTTACTAACTATTGCTAGGGATTAAGGAGGGTTTTAAAACACTTTCTAAGGCTAGAAATATCTTAAAAATGGGTTGGAACCATCTAGTTTCTAAAACCCTTATAATCTCGTTTCTTGCAACTATGGTGAAATAAGTGTCTTGAGAGCTTGATGAAAAGCTTGGGATACAAGGATCATGATTCTTACCTTTAGGTTGTTGAAATAGGTTTGTAAGACTACAAAGTTTCTACCTTTACTTGGTTCTTGGAGAGGAAAAAAGGGCTATGAAGATGAAGATTTGAAGAGAAACAAGAGACAAATAAGAGGTGAGAAAAAGAGGGTGTATCAGACGTGATATCACCAAGAAATTAAGGACTTCTACCTTAATTTTTTAACAAGGGTAAAATTGCTTATTTGGTCCCTCCAATTCTGACTACATATTAAAAACACTATTTTTATTCACTATTGGGCTTAAGGTAAGCCCAAATAATCTTTAATTTGGGTCAAGCTTCCTACAAGCTAAGAAATTAAACCAATGGCCATCTCGGGTTAGCCCAATACTTCTAACCTGGGATTCGGGGCATTACAAAATTACTTATCGTTAATATTTAATGGAAGTGTTGACATGACAGTTTAAAAAATTGATAAAATCACACATCTAGTCCTTGTTACTTTTATATTCTATTAAATTTGTGACATGTGACATCATTTAATTGGAGGAAAATTAATTGAAAGGAAGAAGTTGTTGAAGGGATTTGAATTTGGATATTCAGGAGGATAAGACATGCTTTTACCACTAGCCCAACAGTCGTATTTGGTTAAAGTCTTACAAATATGTTATTTATCTTGCATTAAATATAATGTAAAATAAATAAAAACAAAATTAACAATAAAAAAGAATCAGACCTTGACTTATTAGAGAATATACTAACACCGAAATTACTGAAGTAAATTTAATTATAGATTTATTAATAAATACACTTCATATATATTTTAAATCATCCAATCATACCATTATAATTGTCATGACACATGTCACCAATGACATGTGGTGCATATGATTAGGATTGTAAATGAAACGAGATAGATTACGAGTTATTTGAGATTGACTTAGTTAAAGCTCGATAAATATTCAACTTGAGTTTGAGCTCGAGTTCGACTTGAGTTTTTAACAAGCCGAAATTAGCTACTTGATACTCGATTCGAAAAGCCCGTGAGGAGCTCGAAATTATAATATACTAAGATTTTATTTTTAAAAAATAAATTATTAATAATATTTGATTTTTTAAAAAAAAGTGCAATACAAGGTTTTCATGTATTTAAGGTTCAGGTTCGAGCTTGAGTTTGAGGCTTCAATCGAATAAGTTTAAGATTTTTTCCCATTTCAAGCATTTTCGAGCTTGAGTTCGAGTCGAGCTTGAAAATTTTAGGCTCACGAGTTTTCGAGCTGAATCGAGCTCCATTTCAAAGTTTTTGAGTCGAGTCGAGCTTAGCAATACTTGAGCTCGACTCGGCTCGGCTCATTTAGCCCTACATATGATTAAAGAATTAAATAGATTAAATTAATTTAAAATTATGATCAATTTGATATAATATGTAAGTATTAGCCATACCAATTTTGTTAACTTTCGTGCCAATACTTCCGTTAAATGTTAATAACAAGTGGTTTAATTGATATCATTTAAACAATTAAGTGACCTGATCGAGAAAGATAAAAGATTGATGATCAAGATGAAAAAACAATAGTTACGTGGTCTTACACATAGATTACCCTTTATTTTTAACGAATAAAATTTCAATCCAATTTCGAAATTTCTAATTCCGAGTAAAAATAAATTGTGTTAATTAATTAAAACATGGATTTTGAAAATCAATCATCAAGAGACGTAACTAGAAGAAGGCATTTAGTTCCCAAGCGTTGTCTAGAACTCTCTAGCTTCTTCACCTTCTTTCCATTTTTCTTATTTTTCACCACCTTTCTACTCTCATCTCGAATTTTCTTCTTCTTCTTCTGTTTTCCACCATCCCTCGTATATGTATATATACACAACCCTGTCTCCCCTGTTTCATATCCGATTTCATCAAAGCAATTTGATATATACAAGAAAGCGCTCTCAAAAAACTTCCCCAAAACTAACTGTTCTTCTTCTTCTTCTTCTTGCGTATTTCTTTCTGGTTTTTGTTTTCAAGTTTTAATGGCGGCCAAAACTGAAGGCAAGGCAATTGGGATTGATCTCGGGACGACATACAGTTGTGTTGGGGTATGGCAGAATGATCGAGTGGAGATTATTGCCAACGACCAAGGCAACCGAACAACGCCGTCCTACGTCGCTTTCACCGACACAGAGCGGCTAATCGGTGATGCAGCGAAAAACCAAGTCGCCATGAACCCTCATAACACCGTTTTCGACGCCAAACGTCTCATCGGTCGTCGATTCTCGGACTCATCGGTGCAAGCCGACATGAAGCATTGGCCTTTCAGGGTCGTTCCCGGTCCCGACGATAAGCCGATGATCGTGGTTAACTACAAAGGAGAAGAGAAACAGTTCTCTGCCGAAGAGATTTCTTCCATGGTGCTGGTCAAGATGAAGGAGGTTGCCGAGGCTTACTTGGGGCAAACCATTAAAAACGCTGTCATCACCGTGCCAGCTTATTTTAACGACTCGCAAAGGCAGGCCACGAAAGACGCCGGATCCATTTCGGGGCTTAATGTAATGAGGATTATCAATGAACCGACGGCTGCTGCGATTGCTTACGGTCTTGACAAGAAGGCGTCGAGGTCCGGCGAGAAGAACGTCTTGATTTTCGATCTGGGAGGCGGTACTTTCGATGTTTCGTTGTTGACAATTGAGGAAGGTATATTTGAAGTTAAGGCAACTGCCGGGGATACTCATCTGGGCGGCGAAGACTTCGACAACAGGCTTGTTAATCATTTCGTTCAAGAGTTCAAGAGGAAACATAAGAAGGATATTAGTAGCAACGCAAGGGCTTTGAGGAGGCTGAGGACTGCATGCGAGAGGGCGAAGAGGACACTTTCGTCCACTGCTCAAACAACCATTGAAATCGATTCACTCTGTGAGGGTATTGATTTCTATTCAACTATTACAAGAGCAAGGTTCGAGGAATTGAACATGGATTTGTTCAGGAAATGTATGGAACCCGTCGAGAAATGTCTTCGGGACTCCAAAATCGACAAGGGTCAAGTTGATGAGGTTGTTCTCGTTGGTGGGTCGACAAGGATTCCCAAAGTTCAGCAACTTCTGCAAGATTTCTTCAACGGGAAGGAGCTTTGCAAGAGTATAAACCCCGATGAGGCCGTTGCATATGGCGCTGCAGTCCAGGCCGCTATTCTGAGCGGTGAAGGGAACGAAAAAGTCCAAGATTTGCTTCTTCTTGATGTTACCCCTCTCAGCCTTGGGCTTGAAACTGCTGGTGGAGTGATGACAGTCCTGATCCCAAGGAACACGACCATTCCCACCAAGAAAGAGCAGATTTTCTCGACGTACTCCGATAATCAGCCCGGGGTTTTGATTCAAGTTTACGAAGGTGAAAGGGCTCGAACCAGGGACAACAATTTGCTCGGTAAGTTCGAGCTATCAGGGATCCTACCGGCACCGAGAGGGGTGCCTCAAATCAATGTCTGTTTCGACATTGATGCGAATGGTATTTGAACGTATCTGCCGAAGACAAGACTGCTGGAGTGAAGAACAAGATAACTATTACAAATGATAAGGGAAGATTGAGCAAAGAGGAGATTGAAAGAATGGTGCAAGAGGCAGAGAGGTACAAGGCAGAAGACGAGGAAGTGAAGAAGAAGGTGGAGGCCAAGAATGGGCTCGAGAATTACGCTTACAATATGAGGAACACTGTGAAGGACGACAAGTTTTCCGGTAAACTAGACCCGGCTGACAAACAGAAGATTGAGAAAGCCATTGATGAGGCAATCGAGTGGCTTGATGCCAACCAATGGCAGAAGTTGATGAATTTGAGGACAAGTTGAAGGAATTGGAGGGGATATGCAATCCAATTATTGCAAAGATGTATCAAGGTGCTGGTGGTGGAGATGTGCCTATGGGTGGTGGTGCTGATATGCCTAATGGCAGTGGAAGCGGTGGTGCTGGACCCAAGATTGAGGAAGTGGATTAAATTTAAGTCTCATCAATAGGATTTGGGATTGGCCTGCGATATAAGATGAGCTGCTGTTGTGTCTATTTACCTTATGTTTCTAATCTTTGCTTTGGTTTGTGTAATGAATGCCCTATGTGAGGCTGTACTTGATATGCATACAACAATCATGTAATAAAAAAACAGAATCTTCAATCTCCCATCATTTTTATGCAACTTTCATCTCATTATACCCTTTTGTCTTCAATAGAAATTTCTTAACTGTATATAATTTTTCTTCTCGATATAATATAAATGACATTTAGTTACTATATATAACCACATTTTCCTCGAAGAGAATGAGGAAAATATAGTATTTAAAAGAGTTCAGATTCAGTTTACATAAAGTCAAATCCAGAAAACTAAAATCAAGTATGGCGATCTTTTCACAATCTTGGTATTTGTTAGAGCTATGAATGCAAGTATATAATCAGCAGCAGAGAGGTGAAGAGAATAATTTCTTCTTGTGCAACACAGACAAACCATTTGCGACTTAAAAAGTATGTTTCGACCCTACACAAATATGAGCTTTATTATTCAATTCTGAGGAGGGTACAATTCCCATAGCGCAACTGTCGTGTCTTCTGATGCAGAGGCCATCAGCTTGCAGTTGGTTGAAACGACACAGAGTTACACTGCAAAGAGCATAGATAATTTATTTCATGTTATTACAACACAGAATAATAAATGCAACCGAGGAATAGCATTGATAAAAACAAGAGTAATACATATACTATAGAGTTATAGGCAGATACATTAGAAACAAAATAAAATCCCACAATTTTAGTACCGTAGCATGGTGATATTTCAGGATTGCCAGAGGATTTCCTTTGCGATAATTGTATATTCTAACTCTGCCACCATCAAACAAATACACAGTTAACAGCAGAGTAACAAACCCTTGCTGCATACCTACCAAATACAATGAGCAGCATGCAAGTGGTTATCTCCAATCTATTTGACATTGTGACATATACTTCTGAGGACAAATATGGAACTACAACTTACTTCGACTCGAGTCAAAACTAGTTAAGAGGCACAATATAGTTTCGTAATCCAATTTCTAAGGATGACAAATTAGGTTGACTAGAAGCTTGGAAACCTACTTAAAGGAAATTTATAATCCATGTTGTCTTATTTCCAGTTGTTCAATGACTGGAAAAGAATTGGATGCCATCAAATTCAGATTGAACCAAAAAACTCATCGAGGAAATCAAAGCAAGGACTCTTCCTTGTAAAGATAAATTACACAGTTCAATTACTGAACAACAGATTATACCTGGGGCAACTAAGATTCCATATTATATCCAACAATTTGGATTCACTTTGAGAATGGAAGTCCAAAGAACATCCCAAATATAGATGATTCAAGAATTATAAAAATAACAAATAACAAGGAAAAATGATGCAAGGGGGATACAAACCTATGGTCCCAGCCAGCAGTAGCAGCAATTTTACAATCAGGCCGGATTGAGGTGCTGGATATGCCCGGACGTTCTAAACTAATTTCTTTCTTAACAACACATGAACCCTACAACAAGAATAACAGAATAAGAAACATAAGAGAATAATATTTATTCATCCAATGTGACTCGACATTACTGGACATCCAGTTACTAAACAAATTCAAAAGGGCTTCTGATTTTATGTTGTTAGCAACCAGATTAAAAGTAACCAGTTCAAGGGAGGTTTAAATAATGTGGAATGAACTTAAAATTCAATGCAATTACCGTGGGATAATCTAAATTGTAGAATAAGATCTTGTCATCTGCTGCCCCTGAGATACCTCCATTGCATGATCCATCAACGGATAAACTTAGAACTGTGCACAGAACAAGAATAAAACGTATTTAATGTAGAAGAAGGAACTAGAAAATGAAAAGAAGAAAAAGAAACTATAAAACAAAAAGAAAAAGAAAGATAAAGCCCAACACAGTGGAGTCCCCGTATTCTGAGTGGCACACCTGGCTCTGAGTGGAACTTCACAGAAGTTACAGGAATCACAGGCTTACGTATATCCCACCACAGAATGGAACCATCCTCGTAACTAGTACATCAAACAACTCCATAAGCAGATAGCTATTGGTCTATTCCAGAAGTCACCACCATATCAAAATCTCTAATTGAATTGTCATTCGGAACACTGTTCCACAATTTTAAGGAGAATAAATCTTAAACAACAAATCTTATACTTCTACTTCTTGAGAGTGATAGTAGAAAAACAAGGTGTTGGAGACAACTCCAGTGCAGTGGAGAGCGATAGTGGAGACACATACCCTGCCAAGACATTAAGAAAGCCTTCTGATCTGGGTGGCAAAAATGATTGAACTGCCATGCACATTCCTGCCCGAAAAGCAAACATAATTTAAACTTTTAAACACCGTGAGAATCAACAAGCGCAATGGTACCAATAAAAACGACATTAAAAAAACATAACTCATATATCATTATTCTCAAATACAGACATGCCATTGTGTTCCTAAACGGGAAAAAAACTACTAGACCCAATCCCATTATAAGATATTTCATCATGGCACTGACCAATTAGCCAAATGTTTGGTATCTTAGAGCTGATTTATCATAGAAAAAATTGCAATGTTCAGTCATAAGTAATGGATCAGAAATCAACCTCTCTGCTTAATAGAAAAACTGGAAGAACCAGCAGAATCATCTTGAGGTAGCCGTATGGTCCTTTCACCTGTATTGAGATCCCAAAGCTCAACCTCAACATATGAACACATGGAAACAGTCAGTAATAGGATACCCCAAATAAGCAGAAAGAAATCAAGAGTATATTGAATAGAAAAATAAATTCAAAGGCAGCATATTGACCTCAGAAGACTGTTCTCCTGCAATAGCCACAAACTTAAGTCCTTCAACAGATGTTTCTTCTGTTTCTTCTGTCAATCCAACTTGCAATGGATCTAGTTGGATACCAATGAAATTTTAGAAAAATCAACAAGCCATCAATGTGTAAATGTGCTGGGAAACATAGTAAAAAAGAGCAGTGGCAAGAGAAATTAATGGTAATTTTGCCAGTTAAAAACTACTAGCTCCGCACAATACGTCAAAAGTAGGGTAGTCTAAGCACACACAAAGATGTATCTCGAATCAAGCCCCATTATGAGTTATAGAAAAGGTGTATTTCAAGAACCCATCCTCCCAGTTTAGGTTACTGCTTAACACAAAAAGACCAAACTTGCAATATCTTTAACAAGGTAACCAAAAGAATTGATCCCAGAATATGTAGTAGGAGAAGTGGTTGCTTTGAAATTGCAAGTAGGAAGGTTTAAACAACAGTAAGAGATATAAAAGTGAAATATTGCTAGTCATTTCTATCATTTGTTTTCTACTTTCTAAGAGAGCACGTCCATTATCAGATAAGCAATGTCCTGATGATAAGTATTAACCGAAAAAAAGAGTGGTCATTAGAGTCCATTTCTGGATCTAGAAACTCATAGAGAATTAAACACCATGGAGTGAAGAATGGGTTGTTAACAACATTTACGTCTAGAAGTAGCCTGAAGCGCATAGACAAACCTTCAAAGGTGTTGGAACCCTCTTCTTTGTCTTTTTCCATCTTCCCTGTGCTATCATTGGGAAATTCTATATCAACTGTTTCACCATTCCCTTTACTTGTATGAGAAATAGGTTTCTTCACTAAAGAAAGCTTGCAAAAGTGGTAGGAATTTGTCCTGATTGTAAGTGAAGGTTCCCTGTTAAGAACCAAAATAGTAGCAAGGTGAAATTCAAAATTACAAATACAAACAGAAATTGCCGGCGGGTAGCATAGAACCAAATTAATAAATCATGAAGGAATTCTAGTGACCCCTAATTTGTTTCACATGCCCATGAAGCTCTGGTTAGCAAAAAATAAAGAAAACTTAATCAAAAGAAACTAGATAATAGATAGGGCAATCTAATCTCTTACAACATCAAGACAACGATTGACTGACTCAGTTCTCCATATTTTCAACTTTCAATAATTATTTACCAAAAAAAAAAGACACTTGAAAGGAAAAGACTTTGATCAGTTAATCTCCAAATTATTGTTGCCATTGGTCGACATACTTTCCAGTCAAACTTTACAAACAGTACGGATTGATAAACTTCATAGTTCATAGCATGGAAATTCAGGCATTTTATCAATAAAAAGGATTAGCCAACCATGTTTTCCTGTGATACTCAAACTGCTTCAAAGACCAATAAGCCAGAACATTAATACCATTTCAATGAATAACAAATTAACAATTATAAAGTGATTGATTACCTGGAGAGACCTCCCTCTTCTATGTCCCAACACTTGACCGTTCCATCCCTTCCCTGACTACACATGTTACAGACAGAGGAAAAAAGGACCGTTTAGCTTATAATTCCAGAAGCCATATATATACGAGGAAAACCACCTTATAATTTTGTTGTTCCCCAACCAAGAACTACAAGCAACAGCTATAATACCATGCGCAGCACTATGAGCCCTGCAAAGAAACAAAAACAATTAATCTGCCAAAGAAAGAGGAAAAATCATTGTCTTCAAAGTAACAGAGGTAAAAGGAAATGATAAATGAAAAGAATGACAACAAACCATGAAGATGATACCATGCGATTCTGAATCGTATCCCAAATCCGCAACTCACCATCTGAAGAGCTGAAAAATAGAACACCCTTTTATTTTGTGTGTTGAAACAAAAATAAAAGAGTGATTAAAAAAGGAAGTTGAGAAGCTGAGGGTCTACCCGGTGAATAAAATGGGTCTCGACGGATGGAAACAAGCATCCGAGACGGAAGCGCGATGGCCTCTTAGCACAGCCACCGGGTCAGGCGGTGGTTTCTTGCTCTTCAAGCTCATTTCTTTAACCAAATAGCGTATTACAACAGAGTAACCCTAATTAGCTAATATCTTGCAAATCATCATCTTTATTCAGGAAATTTCGAAAGTTATCCCAACGGAACCATTAAAATTTTAGTTTAGTATTAGCCTATCCAAACGTTTTTCGCTAGTCACGTTTAGCATTTAAATTAAGCCATAGACATCTTAATTTTATTTAAAAAATGCATAATTTCAATTAGTAACGCATTTTTATGAACAAAAGAAATTAGCTTTGATTGTAAACTGTGGCAAATGTTTGCTTTTATGAAATGAAATTGCCTATCAAAAGAAGAAAAAAGAAAAAGAAATTAGCTTTGAATTTTGATAAAGACTTACCTAATCCAAGTCAAGCTTTCACAGTAATGCAGTTGGGTGGAGAAGAGTTCTTAAGCTTATAGAGATTGCACAGAATCTGGTTATTCTCCTAAACACAACTATGTGTGTGAGAGATGGGCTGCAATAAGATTATTAGCAATATATAGACTTTATATTCTCTTAATTCTCTTTCTTTGTTAACTTTCTTTTCCCTTCAGTTTCCTTCTTTCTTAGCCACGATTCATCGAACGCTTGGTGAGCATCTGAAAACAGCAAATTCAGCCTTTCACCGTTGAAGGATAGCAGAGGAGCGGAGAGAGCTTCTATTTCACCGTTTTTTCATCTAACTGTTGATTTTTATTAGACCTCAAAACTCGGGAAATACTCAAGATAAGCTTAATATACACTTAAAAAAATGTGGTATCGTTTTATTATGGGTTAAAAAAAAGTGACGTCGGTTTATTATTGTTGTGTATAATAAAATTGGTAAAAATTACTGAAAATATCATTATTTTACCGGTTTTGTTATTATTGCATTTTATCAGGTAAAATATATCGGTTTTGTAATTGTTGTGTATAAAAAAATCGGTAAAAATTACCGAAAACGTCATTATTTTAACAAAACCGATAAAACGCTATCGATTTTGTTATTGTTGGGCATTTTATCGAAAATGTTAAAAAACATTGATGTTTTAGGTAGAAATAATAATGTTTTAGGTAATTTTTTCCGGTTTTATTATGCCCAACAATAACAAAACCGGTAAAAATAATATTTAATGATAAAATTAGTAAACACAAATTATACAAATTAATTTAATTTTTTAGTTTGTAAATTGTCACAATATAACTAATGAAAAAAAGGACACGATTTTTCTATTTAGATATTAGCTTTAATAAAAAAAAATTATATATAATTACAATATAATTTTAAAAAATAATCCTAATGAAGTGATGAAAAATAATCATAATTATAATATAACTATAAACATCAAATATAATAAAATAATATTATTTATTAAAAAAATAATATTATTATTTTTAAAATATTAGAATAATTTATTTAATATTATTTATGTCAATATTATTATTAAAATATTATATCTATAATTTTATAAATAAAAAAATTATGATTATTATATTTTATTAAAATAAAATTATTATAAATTATATTTATTATTTATTATAAGAATAATATTTCATTAATTGTATTATAATGAGAGAATAGTTAAACACATGCGTCGATACATTTTCTAAAAGTATCGACACATATGTTACATCGAAACCGATAATTATAATGTAATAGGTAAATTTACAATATAACCGGTATACAACAATAACAAAATCGGTAAAAATTACCAAAAACATCATTATTTTAACAAAACCGGCAAAGCGCTACCGATTTTGTTATTTTTTTACCGATTTTGTTATTGTTGGACATTTTACCGAAAATATTAAAAAACATTGATGTATTAGGTAGAAATAATAATGTTTTAGCTGATTTTTATCGGTTTTGTTATGCCCAAAAATAAACCGGTAACAATAGATTTTTTAATGATAAAATTAGTAAACACAAATTATACAAATTAATTTTAATTTTTTACTTGTAAGTTGCACAATATAACTAATGAAAAAAAGGACACATTATTTCTATATCGATATTAGCTTTCTAATAATAAAATAAGAAATAAAAAAAAAATATATAATTACAATATAATTTTAAAAAAAATCATAATGAAATGATGAAAAATAATCATAATTACAATATCATTAAATACAATAAAATAATATTATTTATTAACAAAATAATAATATTATTTTTCAAATATTAGAATAATTTATTTAATATTATTTATGTCAATATTATTATTAAAATATTATATCTATAATTTTATAAATAAAAAATTATGATTATTATATATTATTAAAATAAGATTATTATAAATTATAAATTATATTTATTATTTATTATAATAAAAATAATATATATTAATTATATTATAATGAGAGAATAGTTAAACATATGTGTCGATACATTTTCTAAAAGTATCGACACATATGTTACATCGAAACCGATAATTATAATGTAATAGGTAAATTTACAATAACCGGTATACAACAATAACAAAACCGGTAAAAATTACCGAAAACATCATTATTTTAACAAAATCGGTAAAGCGCTACTGATTTTATTATTTTTTTACCGGTTTTGTTATTGTTGGGCATTTTATCGGAAATGTTAAAAAACATTGATGTTTTAGGTAGAAATAATAATGTTTTAGGTAATTTTTACAGGTTTTGTTATGCCCAACAATAACAAAACCGGTAAAATAGACTTTTTAATGATAAAATTAGTAAACACAAATTATACAAATTAATTTTAATTTTTTAGTTTGTAAGTTGCCACAATATAACTAATGAAAAAAATGACACTATATTTCTATTTTGATATTAGCTTTCTAATAATAATAAAAAAAATTATATATAATTACAATATAATTTTTAAAAATAATCATAATGAAGTGATGAAAATAATCATAATTACAATATAATCATAATTACAATATAATTATAAACATTAAATACAATAAAATAATATTATTTATTAACAAAATAATAATATTATTTTGTTAAATATTAGAATAAATTATTTAATATTATTTATGTCAATATTATTATTAAAATATTATATCTATAATTTTATAAATAAAAAAATATGATTATTATATTTTATTTAAATAAAATTATTATAATTATATTTATTATTTATTATAATAAGAATAATATCTCATTAATTATATTATAATATGAGAATAATTAAACATATGTGTCGATACATTTTCTAAAGGTATCGACACATATGTTACATTGAAACCGATAATTATAATGTAATAGGTAAATTTATAATGTAACCGATATAAATATATCGGTTTTATGAGAGAATAGGTCAACAAAATGTATCAAAACAAATTTAAAAAGTGTCGATACATTTTGTCCAGAATGAATGTTAAACGAGCTGCACACATAAAGTGTCAATACATTTATTAAAAGCATCGATCCAAAAATATCGAAACCGATAATTACAATGTAATAGGTAAATTTACAATGTACCTAGTAGAAGTATATCGTTTTATGAGAAAATATGTCTACATAATGTATCGACATATTTTAAGTTTGTGTCGATACTTTTTTCCGAATGAATATCCAACGAGATGCACACATAAAGTGTCAATACATTTAAAATTGTATCGATCCCAAAAACATCGAAACTGATAATTATAATGTAATAGGTAAATTTAAATGTTACGATATAAATATACCGGTTTAGTTAAAAAATATGTCAATATAAGCGTTACCTATTACATTGTATAAGCGTATCTAATATGTTACTGTACTTGATAATATTTTCGATTAAATACTTATTTTATTATATAAGCGTTACCTAATATGTTATTGTACTTGATAATATTTCCGGTTAAATACCTATTTTATTATATAAGCGTTACCTATTACATTATATAAGCGCTACCTAATATGTTATTGTACTTGATAATATTTCCGGTTAAATACTTATTTTATTATATAAGCGCAACCTATTACATTATATAAGCGCTACTTAATATGTTGTTGTACTTGATAATATTTTCGATTGAATGATATAACATAATCAATATAAATTTTAACCGATCACTTATTTAATTATTCACGTTAATTTTTAGTCGTTTTTTAACCGCTGCACACGATACCTTCCCTCAAAACCCACATGAAGGGCTCCTTTTAGAAATTTCCGAGTTGAGCCAATAAGAAAAGCCTTATCTATAGCTATTTGAGGTGGTCCTTGTTTTGCTACCTTCAATTGTAACCCTCTCCCAATAGAGTTTAGAAAATAAAAAAATCAGAAATTGTAAACGCTCTCTGATCCGATTAATTAATCTAATCAAGAAAAAGTAAATGGCTTCAACATTCAGTGGCGATGAAACTGCTCCGTTCTTTGGTTTCCTCGGTGCTGCTGCTGCCCTCGTTTTCTCCTGTAATCAAATTAGATGATTGGTCTTCGTTAAAAATATGTTTTTTTCCTCTATCTTGTATCGCTGAGGATCTGTGTTGTTTGGGGTTTTGATCGGATGTTTCGCAGGTATGGGAGCCGCTTATGGGACCGCGAAAAGTGGGGTTGGTGTGGCGTCCATGGGTGTGATGAGGCCAGAACTGGTGATGAAGTCGATCGTCCCCGTGGTTATGGCTGGTGTTCTCGGTATTTATGGCTTGATTATTGCTGTTATCATTAGTACCGGAATTAACCCAAAGGCTAAATCTTATTACCTTTTCGATGGATACGCTCATCTCTCTTCTGGTCTCGCTTGCGGACTTGCTGGTCTTTCCGCTGGTATGGCTATTGGGATCGTGGGCGATGCTGGCGTTAGGTAATGCTTTTTATCTTCTAAACATTTTAGTTTATGTGTACTTGATTCATACTTCATGATCATACCAGTTTGTTGCATTTTCTCTATAGAAAATCGATATTATATTATATCTGGGGTTTTGATGTCAACCCTGCAAAGTAAGCCCTTTTTACTTGATTGTTTAGATTCAGCTTGGGAGAATTCTATGTAGGGTCTGCTGTATGACATGAATCGAATTGAGATGATGTAACGGATGTTATGATTGTTGAAAATGAATTTTATTTATGCATATTATTATTTCTATATATCCCCATATCCAAGTGCTGGACATGGGTACAGTGAAGAGTCCTAACAACATAGATTAGTGTTATATCGCTGTTGTATTATTGAACTACTATTGCTTTAGGCTTGAACTGAATTGAGATGTTGCGACAGTTCTTGTGATTGTTGGGAAGGAAAGATAATGTAATTTGAGAAATAAATCCCCTTAAACTAATGCTATATACTATTTTTCTTTTTGTGGCAGTTGATATTTACTAGTGCTGTTGTTGGTGATATGTTACTTTGCTTTTGCAAGTAGTATCACTTTGTAACTTCGTCTTAATTGTATATTTGTGTTACTTATTGAATTTTGTATAGCTAATGCAGAAATTTAGATGCTGTTAGGTACGTCGATTTATGATTGTTTGGGGAGGAACGATTAATGCTGTTTAAGAATTATTATTGTTTTTTTATCCCTTAAAGTAGTGTCATACTTCCGTCAGGTTAGTTCAGTGATTGTTTGTGCCAGTTACTTTATGGTTCGTTGTGTTACTTGGAACCTCGTCTTATTTTTTCAATTGGATTTTGCAGAGCCAATGCACAACAGCCAAAGCTATTTGTTGGGATGATCCTCATTCTTATCTTTGCTGAGGCATTGGCACTATATGGCTTGATTGTTGGCATTATTCTCTCTTCCAGAGCTGGTCAGTCGCGAGCCGAGTGATAAAGGCCTAATCAGTGACTCTTATGGATCCTTGAAGAGTTGTTCAATATATTCTTCTTTCTTTTGCTGGTATAGATAAGTTTTGCCCATAAAGTATTGTTCTACATAAAATTTATTGGCTGCCAGCCTTTGAGCTTTTCTAGAGATTGAGAAATCCGATGGGCTGATGATAGTAGATTAGATAAATATTAGTTAGTTGTTTCAATAAAATTTGTAAACATTGTTTCATTTGTGAAGTTGTGTGCTTGTGGATCTTGTTTAAACCCTGTAGACTTGTTGCTTGCATCTAGTTTCGTTTTTTCATTGTTTCTAAACGTTGAGTTTGGTGTGAATATGTTGAGCTCCTGGTATATCTGGACTTCATACGATAGCTTGCATTGCATGTCAAAAGATCTTACTGGATTGCGGGGATATAAGCTTAAAAATGCCCATGAAGTTCAATGACATGGATAGCGGTTTCTGCAATTTCATTTTTTGTTTCAGATTTCGAGTATGAAATTGAACATAACTGTGTGACCTAAGGCATACTTCCCAATAGCTACAGACTAATGATTAGATTTATGACAGTTTCATTTGATTTATGTAAATATATTGTTTAAGTCAACCCAAACATCCATAGCCAGCATAGGCTTGACACCTGTCGTCTTTTGGTCTGGGTACTTATACCATGAGGAAATGTTAAAAGGGGTTTCTCTTCTCTTTCTTTCTTTTTTCACTCTCATCTTCCTACTTATAGTTTTCATCTTCCACCATAGAAAATCATCCACCAATAATTATTACCTCACCGGTCATGATTATCTATCCAAGTTAAAAGAAGTGAATCATTGTTACCTCACCGATCCTGATTATCCATCCAAATAAAAAGAAGTGAATTACCAACCGTCAACAAGATCAAATTGTTCCAATCAACAATACCATTATTCACGAAGTATTAAGGCTTAATTTTAAGCTTTTTATATGTAGAGATTAGATCTCAAGCTTAATAGATATAATTGCAAGTTGCCTATATTGGGAAAATGTGGATATTATTATTATTATTATTATTGGTTTGAAGGGGTGTTTAGATGTCAGTTGCCAGAAGGGGTGGCTTAAAATATATATACATGTTCTTTTACCCTTTAAAACAGGTTTGATTAGATTTTTTTGAATATATATATATAATTTATCTAACATTGAATTTTAATTTAATCTCAATATACCCATCAAGTAATAAATCAAATGTTGTTCTCCCTAGAGGTTATGAGTTTTGTAGGGTGTGTGCATTATCAATTCAATTGATTTAAAAAATTATGAACAAATATTATCTTGTAATCACCTTAGACTATTTAAAAAAAATTTAACCTCAATGTATTTACAAGGTCATTATTAATAATTAAATAATAAAGTTATTCGATTTTTATTAATTTTAGTTTGTGTATTGATTTGCCATTAAATTTTCAAACACTAAATTTTATATTACATATTATTTTATTTTGTATAAATAATCATTAACTTTTTTTACAGTCATTGTCTGTTAATCTTCGTTAATTGTCTTTCGCGAAAAAGTCGATAAAAATTCATTTTAAAAGTTTAATATTCTAATATTCCGATCTTTTCCTACAGTCATCCAATCAAATTAATTTTGAGGTATGTTATTAATTTTCTCGAAAGGATGTTAATGTCTTTCACTATTTGAATTCTCAATCAAACACTTCTAACCCAGAGAAATGATAGATTTTGTGTGTTTAATTTCATGAGTTCTAAAGGGAATCGGAAAAACTTAAATTGAAGAGTGGTAAAAGAACGGTTTTCAGAATCGGACCGGTTAGCGAACCGGTCATGTTACCGGTTTACTGGTTCAACTGTAAAATCAAGTGAAACAAAATGATTCAAATTAAATACAACAAAATATTTAAGGTAAAACATATTAAATAATAAATATAATTATATAACTATAATTAAAAATAAATTTGGGGTTAAAAATCATAACAAAATGATATTGTTTGGTTTAATTTTTTTTAAAAACAATCCCACATGACTAAGAAACATAGAAGAGCATCCCAAAAGTCTAAAGAGAAAATATGAGAACAAAACAATCTCACATTGCTAAGAAACATAGAAGCGCATCACAACTAACTTCTATAAATAATAGAGGTAATTTGACATTCAAAATCATGGAGACTTTTGGTGAGCATTGAGTGAACTATTCTTTCACTTCAATCAAGCTCGAATTTTAGGCTTCAATCGAGCTTCTAATTTTTTTTTGAGTTCAAGCCTTTTTGAGTTCAAGTTTCAATATTATATTTCGAGTTTGAGTTGAACTTGATAATTTTTAGCTTGTGAGTTTGAGTTGAGTTGAGCTTACTTTTAAAGTTTTCAAGTTCGAGTCGAGCTCAGCAATACTCGAGTTCGACTTGGCTCGTTTAACAAACGACGTTGTTTGGTTTAATTTAAAAAAAAAAAATCCCGGTTTTTTTCCGGTTTTTAGCCAGTCCGGTTCGAACGGTTTAGCGGTTCTGGCCGGTTCACTAATAGCGATTCAACCGGTTTAGATTGAACTGGACTAAGTAACGGTTCCCGGTTGAACCGGCCAGTCCGGTCCGATTTTCAAAACAGAGGGTAAAAGACTGTAGGGTTGAGTGGTGAGAAGCAGACAACATATAAATATTGTAGGATCGATGAACATTGCATTATTCCTTGGGTTGTAAAGGAATGACATATACATATGCACACAGCCCAAATTTAGAGCTTGACAAAGGCAACTGCCTTCTCTCATATTCTTTATCATTGTCGACGGGCCCCCCCGGGGGGGGGGGTGGACAAAAGAAATGAAAAATGCTTTCATGGAATAAAAATATTTACGTAGCCGATACTGGAACACGGGTCTTTCGGGTGACAGCCGAATATCCTGGCCAACTAGAATACAACGGATTGTTGCCCAATGTTTTCTAAGAATTTATTAATTTCTAGTAGAGAGTGTCTCTGTACTGTATGTTTTCCGGTGGTATAATTCAGTTGTGGTATTTACTATACAAAAATTGTGGATTCAGTTCCTGTAGTTCAATTTGTCATCATTTGATCGTTTAATTTTACGATATCGTTCGCCAATCCAAATAGTTGAATATTTAGGTTAAAATGTTGGAGTAGATTTTTACCTTAAAAATACTTGTTTCAACACAAACAAATCTTATTTTAATCAAAACTGTTAATTATTTAGATTAATCAGCCCATGACTATTTATATATAAAATCATGGCAAATAAAGTACATGAACCAAATTCCGAATTAGAGCGCAGTAGAGTGACTGAAACCAGGGTTATGATATTTTCCCAAGTGCCATCTTATACGTTTCAGCTTAACACAGATGGCCTTTTCTCGAAACTTTACATTCTTATATCATCATTGTTGCATGATGAGGGGACTGATGGTGCAGCTTAAATTACAGGGCTTCGTTTGTTATATGAATATGCTCCACTAAAACAGGCCTACCCAAGGCGTTATTCAATCAACGTACAACGTGCTGCAGTGGAAGCAACTCTTGCAAAATCAACCTACTTGGTTTCAGTGATGTTCATCATGTATCAAGGCCATTAATTTATGCTTGGCAGTCGACGGTCGACACAAAAGACAACAATAATAAAATAATTTTTATATATAACAAATTGAATCCATTGCTAAAATTCTGGTCAACTTCGGATGAATTGAGAAGATTTCACCGAACATGACAATGTATCAACCTAGATAGTGTTGTGCTCTACTACCTTTTCTATAACAAAGAAGGAAGTTCTTCCAGCCGGTGGATCTTCGGGTTCTGGATCGGGGCAAGATGCTGAGTCCGACTACCTCCTTGGGTGCTTGACCCGGTTCCAAAAACCCCAACAACTTCGCCACTAGAGTTGCACTCTCTTTCACATGTCCCGTGTGTTGTAGAATTCGGGTTAATTTCCACCAATAATAATAAATTCACCTTGAAAACTATTATCCAGATGACTAGTGTGAAAACGATTGTACTAAAAATCACACCAAGGTAGATTCCCATGAAAGAGGAGGGGTCACAATGGTCCCTCTTAAAACCCACTTTCCTTAGACAGAACTACTAAGACAAGTAATTTTAATAGGACAATAATTAACAACTATACCCAACAATAGCTATTAAAAAGACATAAAGAGAACACCAATATTTAACGATGTTAGGCCAAAATTATGCCTACATCCTCGAACACTACTAAAATAATATTTCACAAATAGAGAAAATATTACAAAGAGAAAGAAAGAAACAAATAGCCTTTAATATAGAAGAAGGCTTATATTTGTGGGATACTTAACTAAGGAAGAGGATGGCTCTATTTATAACAAAAGAATTTCTCCTCCTCCTTATACACAACCAATGTGGGACTTTGACAAAAAAACCAACAAATCTCCACCTTGGCAAATTCCACACACATCTCTCAAAAATTCAATCTTCAGAGTGTCTGCAAATTCATCTTTCAATTTGTAACAATATTGACCAAGTCTAAACAATGTTTAAACTTGAAGTTACCACTTTTGTCAACATATCAGCAGGATTCTCAGTGGTCCGAATCTTCTGGATTATGACTCCACATTCTTCTAGAATCTCTCGTACAAAGTGATATCGAACATCGATGTGCTTCGTCTTGCATGGTAAACCTGGTTCTTTGCTAAATGAATAGCACTCTGACTGTCACAATGCACTTTGATGTGCTTCTGTTCCATTCCCAATTCACCAAGCAACCCTTGAAGCCAAATTGCCTCATTCACAGCCTCTGTAACTGCCATATACTCTGCCTCTGTAGTAGACAAAGCCATTGTTGACTGTAAGGTGGACTTCCAACTGACTGGTGCCTTTGCAAATGTAAACACATAACCAGTAGTTGATCGACGCTTGTCCAAATCACCTGCATAGTTTGAATCACAATACCCAACTACACACTGACCATTTGTTTGTCCTACTGAAAGACCAAACCAACATCTACGGTGTTCAGAATATATCGCAGAATCCATTTCACAGCTTGCCAATGCTCCTTTCCAGGATCATGCATATACCTGCTCACAACCCCAACTGCTGTGAAATATCGGGTCTCGTACACACCATTGCATACATCAAGCTACCAACAACACTTGCATACGGAACCTTTGACATGTATTCCCGTTCTGCATCATCCTTAGGTGACATGGATGCACTGAGCTTGAAATGAAGAGCAAGATGTGTACTAACTGGTTTTGACTTCTCATTCATGCCAAAACGTTTTAGTACCTTCCTCAGA